CGTGTGTGTGTGTGTGTGTGTGTGTGTGTGTTATTGGAGTCCTGCAGTTGTAATAACCCGCTAAGATAAGCTTTTGATCTATCATTTAAAGATGAAGGTGGTAGTGTTGAATATTAAATGTACCTGATCCATGGAAAAGGACCCGTGTTATCTGAGTTCACACATGAAAGTCCCCTTAAAAAGTCCACACAATGGATCCATTAGCTCTGTTTTATTTCCTTTATATCCAAGTTTAAAGGTCCCATGTCATGGCCATTTCTACTGATCATAATTCCATTGTTGAGGTGTACTAGAATATCTTTATATTGTGCAATTTTCCAAACTCACATTGGTTTCTCATACAGCATCTCTGTATAGTATATATATTCAGTCTCTGTCCTAAACGGCATGTTGGAGCTCCTGTTGGAGTTAGAGTTTTACTCGCTATAGGGTGTACTTTGAGGGTTTTTGACTCTGCAGACCGTTTACCTGCAAAAAAAGCTACATTAACACACAAGGGGACGGGTAATAACCAGAAAAGGATGACATGGGACCTTTAAGTGCATTTTCAGTAATCTGTACAATAATAATAAGAAAAAACTTTCAGCCAAACTGATACATTTTATGTCTTTTAAATGAAGCAAGTTCTTTTGTGCTTTTCTACAAATGTGTTATTCGTCCATCTTTCAGTTATAGCAGTGGTCATCAGTGAAAGGCTATTCAAATGTATTTTAACAACATATCAATGCAGTTAAATGTATATGTTTTATAAATATTTTTTAAATGGTCAAGACATAGTTTTCCCTCAGGGTTTTTTCTTTGTTCATTTTTATTAAATGCTGTTTTAATTCACAGTGATGTACCTAAGTCAAATTAGATTTGCCTTGATATTACACTATGACAAGAGTAATTCTAAAAAGGTAATCTAGTTTAGTTTACACCAATAAAGCACAATAGTGAAGCTCAGTCAAAGAAAAAATAATAATAATATGATTTTTACCGAATGAGAAACAAACAGCACGTTATAAAAAAGATGATTTATCAGGAGTTTCAATCTACCGTCTTTTTCTCCTGTCACTGAGGGTAGCACAAAACCTAATCATGCTGTTGCTATTTCATGTATTATTCTTGCAAAATAGATTTTCTCTCAATGTTACGGACATAACAAAGAAACTAAAAGAATATTTTATCTACAGATAACAAAGCACAGCTTCGTGACAAAGCAGTCTGGAAACAGTCGGGAGCAGAATGCTGTATGAATAGCTCAGCCAGCAGGGCTTTGTGGTAATGCCTACATTTCTGCAGCGCACGCTAACAATCAGGACTATCAGTAATAAGCAGTCATCTCTAAAAGGTCTGTGGAAGTACAACAGAAATAATTGGTGAAAAAATAAGACATATGCAGTGGTCGCTGGGAGCTTGTGTGTTTTTCGATGAATAGTTTCATAAATGATGTTAAATCTATAATGTTCAGTCTGCAGTAGAAAGTGTGTACAAACAATGTTATACATCCACAAACACACACACATTCATTCTATTATCTTACCCCTAAAAAACTGATTTCCTTGTTTTAATCTGCAGCTTGAACCCCTGCCCCCTTCAAATCCACCCTCTTCCTCCACCTCTGATCTCCTCCCTCCCTCCCTCCCACAGCAGCTACAATTTGAGAACAGCTAGCGTTAATTAGGGCTGCTAATTGAGCATATCCAAATGTTGAATAAAACATGGATTCAGAAGAGAGCTTCTTTATTACATTTAGGGAAGGTCTCTGAAGAAAGTTTACAAGCCTTTAATTTATGTTAATGTAAAATTGCGTACGTTGAGGGCACTCTGCCACTGCTAGCTCTGTTTTTGCATGCTTCAGGGTTAGTTTGCGTAGGTTAAACATAATTTTTGTATGTCTGCGTAAGGCGGTGCTTTGTGGCTAATGGCCTCTCTTTACTTTGCTGAATACTA